GGATTCGAGACAGGATTACGAGCAAGCGCACTCACCACCTGGAATACCGTGCACACCCGAGGACGACGCCTTGTAGTGACAGTCGCGTAGATTGCGGGAATCGGTGCGTGGCCCGCCCTGGCCACAGATATCCCACCAGCGCCGCCGAGGATGCGATGATGCGCAGGCAGTCGTCGTGTGTGGGAAGTACGCTGCATTGTTCTCCCCCGAGCAGCCCCAGTCGCCGAGTTAGGCGGGGATACGCCGCAGAAGCGGAAGCAGACTTGGTGGGCGGAAGCAGAGAGTGGGGGACGCGTGAATCAGCCGCGCGCCGAGCTCCGAGTCGGCCACGTTCCCCGGCGCCAGATTCGCGCTTGTCCCCTTTTGGCAACTACGTTCGGGGCCGCAGTCGGCCACTCGCCCGTCGCCGTCGCCCGCAGTCTCCTCAGCCTCTCACCGTCTCTCCCTTGCCTCTCTTGGCGCGCAGACAGCGCGGCCTCTCCCGCTCTCAATCAATGTGGCGTCTCGTGCACCTCGCCGTCAAGCGTAGGTTCCAGGCAACGAGTCTGCGTCCGCCACAGTTGCTCCCGGCCCAGTAGTCCTAGTATAGCTGATTGCGATTGCTGAGTTGGATTAATTATCACGAGTCACGCTGTCGACAGAGCCTCAAGCTTCAAGCTTCAAGGGGGGAGGTAATCCTGGGTGCTCGGGAGCCCATATCCCCGCAGTCACTGACCTCATCGCGGCCGATACTCACGTCGATATCGATCATCTCATGATGACGTACGTTCGCTCTCTCGAACTTCATGGTTTACTTTCAAGCTCTTGGGGTATATACTGGGGTCTTATCTTCCGATCTTGGCATGTCCGCCCCGCTCTCCGGTACGCCACCGAACGCAAGTACTGTGTTCATTTTCCATTTTATACCTCTGGTAGCTGGAGTGAACATCAAGGCCTGACTGCTTCTTATTGACAGAACATGTGCTTTACACGTGTAATACTGCACATTAACCACACTCCGCATGACCTGTCCAAAGGCCTTTGTCTGTCGCACGCCGAGTGGCTCAAACCCGTCGCGCTATATCATATCGCGCCTCACGTCTCGCATTCACCAACCCGATATCCCAAGATCTCCTCAAACTTCACCATAAAACACGTCGCCGCTATGCAGAGCTCTAAGTACGTTCATGTACTTCCGACTCGGACACCAGTACCATTGCTCGTTGCAACAGCTTACATATTCTACCAGGCAGTGCCCTAGCGTCGTGCTGTCCACAGACGATGTTCGGTACGCCATCAAGAGCATCCACAACCCGGATCAGATCCCGTTACTATTTGTCCCCGCACGCCTTGTCATAGGCAAATTGGAGTCCGCGACCTGTGAGTTTACGCGATCCTGTTCATTCTTCTCGCTCTGATTGTGATACCGCGTCAGACTCCATAGTTCTATGCAACCCTGCATCGCAGCTTGACGTCGCTACCGGCTGCTACGCCCGCATCCTGTCTGGGCCTCTCGACCAGACCGTATACTTCACCTGCGTCGAAGCCGACATGACTGTGTCCTTGAAGTTCTTCTGGTATGAAGCCCCCCCGACGATTGTATTCGCCTTCGCCAAATCCGCGGAATTCTTCGAAATGGTGCGTCTCTTGGTCGAGGCTAAAGTTCACGCCGCGGCCGTCAAGGAGGCCTACGAGGTGAAGATGGAAGCCCTCTACAAAGCTCACTGCTCGCCCCTCTCACCTTCTCCGGAAGCCGAAGCCCCTTTCCCTGACCCCGCTGAGCTCGAGCACGACACCAAGCCCGCAACTGCCAGTACGGCGAACGTGGGCATAACCGCAGACGTTACCCTCTTGGACGTTTCGGAGGAGCCCCCGATCAAGCTCGCCGATATCTGCGAGGGCGTGAACACGAGCGGCTCTCCAGTTGACACACCCGATACTCCGTCAGCCGGTAGCACGAACTCCACGGTCGACGATGCCATCGAGGAGCCGTTCCTTCTCTCGTGCACTTTCGCGTTCGTAAATTGAGTTGCTCACGTCACCGGTAAGTATCTTCTAGATACATCCTACGACGTATTTTGATGTCCACATGTCGTAATAGGTACCACGCGTAAGGGTATTCTCGGCAGTGGTGGTGGCAATGTTGTTGGGGGTGTTACGTCAACTCCCCTGGTTTGTGTGTACGATTCAAGTCGTGTGTTACTGTCTGTGTCTATGTGAATGTATATTGGAGATTTGCGCATTGATGTCATAGTCGGTGTTATGCTTGAAGGCGGCAGAGGACTGGCGCAAGCAACTTGGTCTGCCCAATATGCCGTCTGCGAGGCTGCATGGCAACCGCGTCACACCACGTCGCTCAGACTCGCCCTCATGTGCGCCTGCTCGCCACGCGACCCAGAAACGTCGGTCCTGGTCCCGGCGGTGGCTTGGGGTGGGGCGTGCCAAGATGCCATCTATGAGGCCAACTAGCAATCGCGCTACAACACGCTCACGCCTTCGCACCCTGTCGCTCTGCACTATACAAACATGACTGCTGGCCAGCAGCGCCTGCGTGGCAGCATACCGATGAAGCAGTACATGCCAAGTTGATACATATACGATACCCCTGCGCACTCGACCGCTCAGCGACACTGAGATGCGGCGCGGACCAGCGCGGGACCGCGTGCCGCCGGTTTCACGACCTAAGGACATCATCCCTAGCTAGTAGCACTCACACGCTCCTCCGAGGCGGTATTGTGATCTAGTGAAACACATCCATGCTTTCGTACTACAAGGCGTACTTACTTTGTGCTGAGAACAGGAATTCAGCAAGCGTCCAACAGAGATGCTTCCCAAACGGTCGTCATTCAACCAACGCTGGATCTACATGTACAGAAAACCGATACCTCGACACTCACACGTCCAACCGCCCCAAGATAATCTCCCGCCTTCCTCGTCGGAGCGCCCAGGCGGTACAGCTACATGCATCCGCCATCACTCCTACGCCTCGTCCGCGGCATCCTGCACCGTCCAGTCAAAATTGTAGTCCTCGTCGACAACCTCGAGGGCCTCGCGCTGCTCCGGTTTGAGAGCTTGCAGCCACTCTTCGTCGTAACAATTGCGCCACAGGCCAATGGGAGCACGACCATCCTCCTCAGAGTTCGCACTCTCGACGCGGATGCGGGGCGCATTCCACCAAAGGCGCGGCTGAGGCGGGTTCTCCCAGAGGTCACGGCGCTTGGCGTCGAGAGCGCGCAGGAAAGTCCTCAACGCCGCGCTCTGCCACCGAGCCTTGATAATGCGGTATGTTCTGCGAGTGGCCTCGGCCGCCTCGGTCTCATCACCACTCATGTTGCTCGGGGAGAGACGAGTGAGCAAGGCGAAGTGGCGGTCTACACCGGTCACTCGGAGTGTGGCCAACCGCGAGGCATAGAGCTGTTGGAATGTTGTCAGGATAGTACTCTGAAGGAGGAGGCAACACACTCACAGTGGTCTTGCGAACGGCTCTTCGGTGTGTGTCCATTTCTGGTTGGGATAAGAGGTGGAAGGTTGCAACTTTGGATGCGGCGATGACTCCATACCTGCGCGATCTAAATAGTTCCAAACTACTCATCCTGGCACCGAAAACACAAACAACGGTTATGGCCCTTGACTCGCCCTGGTACAAAGAATTAGAGCATTGTGTATGACGCTGGAACCCGCAAAGTAACGCGTGGCGACGCATATGACTTTGCACAAACGTCGTTTGCGCGCTCGAATCACAGACGGACTGCGCGATGTTCAAGTGTTGCGGCGTGGAGAGCCGACTTTGCATTGTGCGTATCCATCAGTGGTGGTCACAACAACTGTTGAATGCGCTGACGTTGCCCCGTGATGGTACGAACTGGTGAGTGCTACTGGGCGGCAGCATGAGCACCTTCAAAATGGCAGCTATGCCAGTCTATAGCAAGTTCAGTACTGTAAGACGAGGAAGCTGCTACTTGCCGCAACTTTGATCCCACGCCGCCCGACCAAATAACGCACGCGCCGCGACGCCAAACACGTTGCTACACGCCCTCGCTCGATGCCGCAGTCCCCCTCTCCACACACTATCACTCCAAGGTCGACGCGCTTCCTCCGAATTCAGTGACCATGGACGATAAAGGTGAGTTATTGTTCCCTTGAATCCACGTTCAGACGCTCTTTTTAAAGAAGATGCTCTTACAGCCACCAGACATGATTCGATTAGTCCGCTGGTCCCTAGTACCAGGTCCGTGGAGCGGCACGATCCGGCAACGTATGAGGAGGCGGTGGCCCGTAAGAATGCCAATCTAACTTCGTTCTACTTATGGGGACATGAACATATACAATCCAGGTATACGTGACCTTGAAATAGAACTCGAGGAAACCCGAAAGGCGTTCACGCAGAAGGTCGTCGAGAACAAGTCTCTGTTCGAGTTGATCAAGCTGCAAAGCCAATCGACCGTCTTCAATGGACAGCATATCGTGAACTTAGAGCTCATGCTGATGGGCCTCCTCGACCCCGATCTGCGCAAGATCGTTCTGCCCCTTCGCACGCCGTGGTAGGTATCTATAACCGTTCACGTGCCGTAATAGTTGATCGGTCCTCAAAAGGCTTGTTAGAGGGGCTTCGTGTCTACGTACGGGGAGCACGACACCTGCAGCTGTCGCGTTGTCAGGTTGGGGAGGTTGGTTCGTTTGTCGTATGTGCTTGCGTATGTGCTTGCTGCTCGTGGCGCTTTTGCTTTCGTCGCTGTTTGTTATTTCTGCAGTTTGTTTTATAGCTCTGAAAACACACATCACATTTATCTTCGTCGCTATTCCGTTCACCAGCCAAGATAAAGACGAGTTTCATATACTACTTCTGCGGCTTGCCTCTCTCAACACTCGTACTAGTCTGCGTGGTAACCGGTGCTCGTCACTCGGCGATCAGCCATGCCGACGTCCCCCAATGGCTTCGACGGGTTTCTCGTCCAATCCTCGGCCGGGACGGAGCTTGCGCTCAATATCAACTATGCTGAGCCAAACCTTCCAGGCTTGGCTTTGTTATTCAACGGAAGCAGCCCTACGGTCAAAGCAGTACTGTTGAAGACCCTTGCAGAGTTCACGGATGATAACGGAGCACTGTACCTCCTATCGAGCGCCGCAGGTCTACCTCCGCCAAGATCAATGAAAGGTGCGCGATCTCGGTGACTTGCGGTTATAGAGACCCCGCTGATAGCGTATTCCCTGTTAAGCATCTCTGCATCCAACATGTACTTCTCACATGAGCTCGAGGTGGCCACGAGTAAGGGCAAGTACGCGACTCTAGAGGCGACTCCAGCCCAGGCCTTCCAGGTCGCTATGAACACCTTCTGCTCTCTCACTCATATTGCATGCTCCTTCGTTGATGTGTCCATTACCGTAGGTATGCTTGACAGATCCGACAACCGTGCCTCGACCGTTGACTATGTGTACAAGAAGAATGCGACCGAAGAAGATGAGTTGCTATAATAAATGTTCGGTTCAGCGGCTATGACAGACTAGCTGTGGAACTAAGGTAGTAATTTCCCCTCGCCCGGTGTGTGCGCGCATTGTCTCGCTAGCGAGTGTCAGCTAGGATGCAAGTGAGAGTACACAAGTACTCACCGCCTGGCTCGGTGCACATTTGAACTTGAAGGCGATGCCGTGCACGTCCTCGCAGATTGCGCGTGACTTCTGCCACGGGCTGTCCCACCAGCGTCGCTGTGCCTGATGTGATGATACGCAGGAGCCTTCGTACGCAGGGGTCTTCGTATGCAGGGAGTTACGCTGCGTTGTTCTGTTGAGAGTCGCTGAGTCAGGCCGAGATACATCGTAGAAGCCGCTAGACGTGGTGGCCGGGAACAGAAACAAGTTAGAAGCATCGGACGCGCGCCTCACTCCAATTCCGCCACGTTCCTCGACGCTAACAGCAGTACCAGGGCTCAGCCATCCGAGACAGCTTTTCGTCCGCGTTCTCCACCCACTGTGTCTCCAACAGCAGGAATGAAACATTGCATAACCCAGCTTGACGTCCCATGCTCTGGAGGGGATATATAAGCTGTATAACGGAAATGCAACGCCGCTCGGCAGCAACCGTGACCGCGCACGCCTTAGAAGTCATCCGCGGAGAGGCTGAAGACTAGCCGAAGCTCGCCCAGCGGCGCATCGAGGAAGCGAAGGCCGTCCGGTCCCAGAAACCTACGAAGGACCATACCGTCAAATATGTCCTTCATCGAGCCCGATGGGAGGTCGGGGTGCGGCGTTTCGAGCCACTCCTCGATATCGGGGCGCGATAGCATCCGTCCAAGCCAGTGTTTCATGGACTGATGAAGGTACTTCCGCACCGGAAAGGGAGCAGCCTTTCCCGATACGACCCGGGAACGCCAGAGCTTAGCGTTGCATGCGTTACTGGTAGCCGTCGATCGGTATGTGCAGAGGCGAGGAGTTGTGGAGGGATCTGGGTACAAACAGAAGCACGTCGGACAGCAGATGAAGGCGTCAACGGAGGGATCGAGGTCGAAGGCGCTGATGACTGTTCGTGGGTCGCGCGAGATAAAGCGCAGGAGCAAGCGATCTTGAGTCGTCAATTCCCCGCTCCGCGCGTACCGCAGAGT